TCCTCCTCACCCTCTTCGACAACGCCTACGCCTCGGCCTACGGCACCTTCCTCTGCAACAACGAGAAGGAGAGGCGAGTGGGGCGGGAGGTGGGGACGCGGCAATGGGGCAGACCGTGCTGTGGCCAGGGCAGGGCTGGCCCTGCCGTCACGCTGCCGGATAGGGCAGAGCAAAGCCCTCCCGGTCACAGCGTGGGTCACGCCTGGCCCCGTGACGGACCGCGGGGACTGAAACGCGTCTCGAATCGCCTGTAGGTGCCTGTGTAAAGTGAAGGAAAGAACGCACTCCCTCTGGGCCTGGCTGAACCAGCCTGGGGAGAAGCAGAAGTACCTGAACCCTCTCTACTCGCACAACGCCCTGGTCATCTGGCCCCCCGTCGAGCCGCAGAGCATCCAGCTCTGGCAGGGTAAGCTGGCTCCAGCGCTCTCAAAAACCCATCTTCAGCTCCGAGCTGGGCTGGGCGAGGGAAAGCTGCTGATTTTCCCTCTCTCGACAGGGCTACGGCACGGCTGAAATAACACACAGCCCCTTCTCTCCTAGGTTTATTCTTCCGATGGATCCGTTCGTCCCAGTACCTGGATGAGGCCTGGGCAGAGATCCAGCGGTTGGCAGAGGACAACGACCCCCCCGTCAAGGAGAGCGCGGGGAACAGGCTGAGCCGGTCCCTCTCTGACCCCACTGCCCGGACAGAGAATGAAAGATGAATGGCAGCCTGGGCAATTCGGTCCCCGCGGGTTGCTGGGCCGAGGTGACGCTGCAGCTTTCCCTGGGAAGCGCTGTGCAGGACGCAGGTCCCGTGGAGCCCGGAGGACAGCTCTGGGAGGGTGGGACAGACTCCCTTTAGCAGCCTCTGGGCCGCACAGACTGAGCTTGTTTCAGTAAAGTGCTCGCTCTCGCAGCCCACGCCTGCTTTTCCGCTCTTATGTAGGGGCAGGAGCAGCCCCGCTCCCTCACAAGCAGGGCCCCTTCCCGCCCTCTTCCCCAGCAGGATTTCAGCAGCGCTTGTACCTGGACTGCCGGCGGAGCAGAAGGGCAGGAGGCAGCGGAAGGTTGATGTGCCCAGCAGCACCGGCCTCCGGCAGCTCCCGCCGCGGCATGCCTGGCTCGCAGCCCCAGCCCAGCTGCCAGGCACGGTCGGCACTGCAAAAACTAAACGGCAGAACACGCTAAACCCGCAAGACCCCTCTCCACAAAGGGCACGCCGGCTGCAGTTTAAGTGTTGCGTCAATTGCTCCGAGCTGGGAGCCAGGCTAGGAAATCTGCCCTTGAACCCAGTTTGGAGGAAGGAAAGAGATACGAACCACCCCTCCAGACAGACAGACACAGGGTGAGAGGGCTGGAAGGATGAGGATTTGCAACACAAGCGGACTAGCGCAGGAAATAACTGTTCCATGAGGAAAGTTGGCTCAGGGTCAGTCCAGCAAATAAACAAAGCACCAGAACTGGGCGCGTGTGTGTTGTCTGGAAAACAATAACTGGCTGCTGTGCTTCCAGACTGTTGACACTTCAGGGGCGGGA